CGATGGGGGGGGGGGGGGGGTGGTATTTATAAAAGTCCAAAAATTTCATCGTAAAAAATATAACTATAAAAAATTATCGTTTTTAAGAATATTAAAAATTTATTAGACATAAAAAATATACTTACTTAATATTCTAACGAAACACAAGTCTAATACAAACATAATTTTTATAAAGAAACTATTTAATATTAATATTAAATAATAAATAACATTATATACCTATTTATAACTAATATAATTATTTTTTATTTTATTAAATGTAAATACTTAAAATCGATCTGTTTAAACAACAAGCTCGATTAATCGTATAACGATTTTCCAATTTTTTCTTTAAAAAATTATCAAGACTATATATGTATACATTATTTTCGTTTATGATAAAGCAATGCTATGTCTCAACCGACAAGTAAATAAAAGATCTAAAAAAAATTATATCGTAATACGGAGAAGTATCTATGCCTCTTTAGAATAAAATGTCTCATATATTTTTATGCATCAAAGTCATCGCATTACACAGCTTCCTTCCCTCTTCCTCGGTTAAAATAAAAATTACCATTGCAATAAGGTTCTATTGTACATTTGCAATTTTTATCATCAGCAAACCATTCGATCGCAGATCCTACAAATAACAATAGTCCATCTCTGTCTGTCTGTCTATCTATTCATCTATATCTATCTATATGCCAACAATGTCTTGCACACGCACGCGCGTACAAACATGTAGCTGTGACGTGCGCTGCAGTATGCACGCACGATTATGTACGTACGTGGTGTTGCGCACACTTGTAAACTGGATATACCGGCGATGAAGGTGCGTGTTCGTGGTTCAACGTGCGCTGGGAATGCCGGCATACTGGGCAAATCGCGTGCCGTCATCGTCACCGTGGTCTCGCGCTGTTGATGAGTGACCGGGCAATGAGCTGCCATTTAAACGGAAGGAGAGGGAAAAGCCAAAGGATAAACACCGAAGGGCCGAATATTCGATGCTGGTAAAACGATGGGAAACTGACCGTTTTATGCCGTCCTCTTTAAATTCAATTTTAGTTTATTATTAAATTCACAAGTGTAAATAAATCGATAAAATTTTACAGCGTATTACCTTACAAAAAGTTGAGCAATACTAATATATATATTTTAATACTGATTTAAATACAATTTTTAGAGGTTTAGATTTTAAGGTTTCATGTGTTGATCTAGGAAAATTTACCGAATGAACGATGTTTGTTTAGAAACCAAATTATCTAAACACCAGTAACAGGAATACCGTGTTTCTACTACATAATGTGGGCTCAAATTACAATTCATTTAAATCAAGTTATTATGAATTTTGAATAGAAGATGTGCATTAAATAATATGAATATTTACTCATATATATAAATAAATAAAGTTTTTCATATATTTGAAATAATCATTGAATAACTCAATTTATAAGATTGATGAATAAAATTTAATAAATGACAAAGATTGTGGAACATTGTATTTGATAAAATTTTTATTTGTTTTTCAAACATAATGTATGTCATATTTTTACGTCAAACATTAATGCACAGAAATCAGCAGATACACCTCGATATTTAAAACATAATCATTAAAAATTATATTCAATAATAATTGCATATAATAAATATATAAAATGCCAGTTTTCAGTAATTCGGCATTTAACGCACATTTAACCACGAAACGCCTATTTAAATGAAAATGTTTTTCAACGATGTAGAATAAAGGCAAAACAAAAGGAGGACCGGACCACCAAGAAAAATGCGATTACCCAAGGGAAATAAATTACAAAAACGACTTATTTGTATAGTGCATATTTGTATATGTATGTATATATCTCTCTCACTCCCTCTCTCTCTCTCTCTCTCTCTCTCTCTCTCTCTCTCTCTCTCTCTCTCTCTCTCTCTATATATATATATATATATATATATATACACATATATAATCATGTATGTAATATAATATACACACAGCACGCAAAGGGAATATCTAAAAAAGAAGAGCGTAAAAAGAGGGGAAAGAAAATAAAGAAAAAGGAAGAAAGCAGGTAGCTTGCGAAGAAACGTCTGCTCGGCTCTCAACCATCCTTCCTTCGATGTTTCCCTCTCTCCGACAGCTCGTACTCTTTTCTTTCATTCTCATCTCCTAACTCTCATGCTTGTATTCCTGCTTTCTTCTTGCGGGTACATGGCGAGTCAGGACGATAGAAGAATGCACTTAGCAAGCAACGCTACTTCGTCGGGATTCATGTATCTGTCGTTTGACTTCCTCGATTAAGTGCATTTCATCCTACGAGTTCTTTGCCTCTCCCTTAATTTCTCTTATTACTCTTTCCTACTTAACCAATGAATATCACCGTCACCTAATTATTCAATACCCCTTATAACTATTGCATATTGAATAATAGATAATAGGTATAATTATTGAAAACGAACGTTTGATATAAGGTACGCCTTTCTTTAACAATTGACTATGTTAAACCGAAATGTCCTAGAGACAGTGAAAGAATTAACCAAATTATGGATAATAATTATTTTAAAAAATTTTGTTGTACTTGCAAATTATAAGAGCGATGCAATCAAAGCCGGTATCGTTTTAATTATCTATTCAAGTGTACATTACTTTTTACCAAATACATTACTTTATATATCTATTACTTTTACGAAATTTTAATCAAACAATGACAAATAGAAAATTTATTGAACTTACAAAACGCATCTTTATTTTTCTTTCAAATACTGTTAAAATAATTTAAGTATTAAAGTGAATCCACATAATTCACATACATTTCAAATTCAAGCTAATTACATAAGTTTGATTAGTTCTGAAATATTCACATACATTATAAGGAACTAATTAACTCAGGATCTTAACTAATAAAAATGACTAATGTTACAAAAAAAAAATACTTATATGAAAAATTTCTTATTATATATGTAATGAAACAGTCGATAATAAAACTAAAAATGAAATCAGTTTAATTTATTTTCACAAACAAGAAATAACCTGCTGAAAAATTTGTTTTCAAGAAGTAAAGATATCTTAAGGAATGAAGCAATACATACGAATTTATATCTTAATTAGTAATATTTTTCCAAAAGTTATAATTAATTGCGAACAAAATTTAAAATTAACAAAATTAAAAATTTTGTTTTCTATTAATCATACTATTAATATATTCGTTTAATTATTGAAACTTCAATATACTTTTTGCAAAACATTCTAAATAGAAAATTGAATACTCAAGCAGCTAATTAAGCAGTTAATATTTCTTCATTAGTATATATAAATATGATTAATACAAACGTATAATATTTTTAATTTTAATGAATAATCCGCTAATTTAAGTATTACCGAAATTTTAGTACAATAAAGAATTTCTATAAATAGTAAATTGAAAAATTCTTATAAAATGAATAAATCATCTATATAATTATTTAATAAAGACGTTTATTTCATAAATACCATTATGTATTAATTATTATATCATACACATATATACATGTATCTAAATGAAAAATTTTTATACAATTGTAAATTAGATTATTTAAAATAAGTTTATCCAGCATAAACTTTGACGATTTAGAATAAAATTAACCCAAAAGATGTAATGAGATATTAGAAGTTGGAACGCTATTAATATCAT